TAGTTAATGGGGACTGTTAATGACTAACAATAGGTAGTGTGTACAGACAGGCTATGTGATAACAAGGCCTGGTGTGTGGGGTAGGGGGCTAGGACATGGGAGAGTTCAGGCCCTAAACTTGTTGAACGCAATATGGAGTCCAGAGGGTTGCAGGATCCCCAAGCAGAAAATGAGGTGTTGTTCTTCCAGCTTGCATTGAGGTTCACTGGAATACTGCAGCAAGCCAGAGACAGAGATGTTGGCCAGGGAGCAGGGTGGTGCAGTAAAGTGGCAGGCAACAGGAAGATCAGGGTCTTTTTTGCGAGCAGAATGTAGATGTTCTGCAAAGCGGTCACCCCATCTATGCTTCATTTCCCCAATGTAGAGGAAACCAGGAATCTTAGTGGTATTATCGCTGGACTGTTATTCCAGAGACCTAGATAATGTTCTGGGCACCTGGGTTCAAATCCCGCCATGGCACAAGGTGGAATTTGAATTCAATAAATGTCTAATGATGTCCATGAATCCATTGTCAATTGTTGGGAAAAACCCATCTGGTTCACTAATGTCCTTTAGGGAAGGAAACTGCCATCCTTACCTGGTTTGGCCTACATTAGACTCCAGACCCACAGCAATGTGGTTGACTCTGAACTGTCCTCTGGGCAATTAGGGATGGGCAATAAATGCTGCCTAGCCAACGATGCCCTCATCCCGTTCATGAATAAAGACAAAAAAAAACAACATTGTGAGCAGCGAATGCAGTAGCCTAGATTCTGGGAAGTGCAGGTGAAGTGTTGCTTCACCTGGAAGGTATGTTTGGGCCCTTGGATACTGGGGAGGGAGGAGGTAAATGGGCAGGTGTTGTACCTTCGCCGGTTGCAGGGGAATGTGCCGTGGGGCTGTGGGGGAGTGTTGGGGGTGAAGGAAGAGTGGACCAGGGTGTCCTGGAAGAAAAGTTCTCTGCGGAAGGTGGACAAGGGAGGGGAGGGGAATATGTATCTGGTGGTAGCAACTTGCTGGATGTAGCGGAAATGGCGTCTGATGATCTTCTGGATGTGGATGCTGGTGGGATGGTGGATAAGGACAAGGGGAACCCTATTGCTGTTGTGGAAGGGAAGAGACGGGGTGAGGGCGGAAGTGCGGGAGATGGGTCGGACCTGGTTGAGGGCCCTGTCCACAGTGGTGCTGGGGAACCGTTTCCCATTAACAACTCTTTACCCTCCTAGCCAGATCGTTATCAACGCCTTTGTCTATCCAACTGCCCTTCTCTTTCTTCGTTTACTCCCTATCACATCCCCCTCCCTACATTCTGCATATAAACCGACGTTTTCTCAGCTACCATCCGTTCTGAGGAAAGGTCACCAGACCCAAAACGTTAACTGATTTTTTCCTTCACAGATGCTGCCAGACCTGCTGTGCTTTTCCAACAACTTCTGTTGTTGCTGTTGTTATTAATACTTGTGTATAACTCTACTGAAGTTGAAATCCAGTTAATATGTTTTTGGTAATATTAGTTGAAGGCCCACTGTGACCCACCCAATGACATTGCCATGTTTCATTTTCATGGTCGGGCCTTATTGATATACAGTTGCTGAGCTGCAAATTATAATTACAGTCCTTGTAGGCAGTTCTTTTTAGGTACAAGCCCAGTGGGGTTGCTGCTATTTTAAAAGCAGCCTGAAACTCTGGAAAGGGAATTATATCTTCCATCTGCTGGATGATGGTGCTCAGTTTCTCGAAACTGCTGATGGCAACTTGATTGCAACTAGACTTGCTCAAGGATTTAGTTTGTGGCCAGGCAAGTTTCTTGGATGAAATGGAGAGAGGTGGCTGGTACCTGTTCAGGTGTTATAATATTACAGCGACGCTATCATATAATTTGATATACTTGTGTTAAATGGTAACATAGAAAGACCTTCAAGGTGTATCACTAACGTGTAATCAGACAAAGAAAGAGACATTAATTATGAATTATCTTATATTTGGTTCAAGTGCTGGAGTAAGACCGTGAGATCATAGTAAATAGGAACAGAAATAAACCATTTGGCCCCTCGAGCCTGATCCACTATTCAATAGGAGCATGGCTGATCCAAAACTCCTCACGTCCACTTTCTTGTGTTTTCCCCAAACCCTTGATTCCCCTCATGATCAAGAAAGAAGAAGAGGAGAGAGAGGTAAGGTGACAAAAGCTAAATAGAAGAGAATTCTAAACTGTGAGCTGAACTGACTGTTACTTTTTGGCGGGGGTGGGGGTAGGAGAACAGTTGTGCACACCAGACCATCAATCTTCCCTGTCATGTATAACAGCTCCCTCATGCTTTTAGATCAAGAGAAAAATAGAACTGAAATATTTCCAAGCCAGTTCCCCCCGTTCAAGCTCAATAGACTAGATAATGACAGCACATTGGGTAATGTGTACTTTTTATTAATCGTTAATGAGCAAATAAAAACTTGTTTACTCAGTTGGCTTTTTTCCACAACGCACTATCCATCAGAGCTATGTTGCAAGGCACAATTCAGTAAAAAAATCTGTTGCTTTCAGCACAAGCAAGAAATGTGAGCGGTAAGATTTGATACAGCAAAAGTTTATGTGTTGAGTCTTTTCTAGTGTTTTGCTGATTGATTTATAATTTTTACGATAATATTAAAATTAAATCCATAGCTTGTAATCTGTTTGGGTAGTGCTAGAAGTAGAGTTAGAATCAAGGCCAGCGAATTGGGAAAGTGGTAAGTGAATTATTGAATTACTGTTACTGTTGACCATTCAAACGAGCTGCTCTTAATTCTGTATCACACTGTTCCTTTGTAGAATAGTGTGAAGTGGCGAATGGGCCAACCATCATGTAAACGGTCCCTCCATGGTTGTATGCATCTTCCTATATCAGTTATAAGATGTTTAGATCCTGTGTGCTCCTACAAACTATACAATGAGTGGTGGTATGTGGTGGGAAAGTGTGGCCAACTCCAGTCACATCCATTGAAACTGATGACAATCTTATACTTAGAGCCAGAACTTCAGTCTCCACTCATCAGCACCGTCTGGTATGGGGTTCAGACCCTGCAACCAATAACTGAGAAATGGAAATGCTGCCATTGAGCAAAGGCTTGGTCCAGTAAATTGATGATTTGGCAAGTTGATAGTCCAATGTATTGAGATACTTGCATTACAAGTGTTGATTGACTAGCTAATATTCACCCTTTATTAACTTAGTTTGCCCTACAACAATCCACACTTGAACATTTCATGTGTATAACTTTTTTATGTTAAAACATGGACACAAAGCACTCAAACATTGAAAAGTAGATACAGCCGATGATATTTCCAAGCTAGTCATTCTGTTCAAGTTTCTGGACTGGATTATGTCTATACATTGGGTAATGTGTACTGAGTATTAATGGGTAACAAGCAAAAGATGGTTTGTGGACTGATTTACTTAATTGGCTTTTCTCCACAACTGACTATCCATTAGAATCATGTATGCATCATTAAAAAATCATTGCTGCTTTCAGCAAAAGAGAGATGAGATTTGATAATCTTTCATCTTTCTCGATAGCAGTACAGGCTTCAATAGTCGGAACTTTAAAAATTGTTAAGTTCATAATTGTGAAGACTCACAAATTATAGTTAACATTATGTTTAATTATTCTCTTCCTATGCAGAATGTAGGTGACAAATAATTAACAAAGTGCTGGGATCCTGCAGACAGACTAAACCTGCATGAATTAAAGTTGTAATAGAAGCATGTTTTAAAGTTACTGGAATTTAACATTTTGAATCTTCTCAATATACATTGTGTAATAGCAAATTTGTTCCAAACATGCACGTTATAATAACAACAATGCTTGTCTCCTTGGACCTATGATCTAAGGGGAAAGAACTTTTTCTGAGTTTTGTCACATTGTGTGGGAGTTTGATATTCTTTATTTTGAATAGATTTCAGGAAACTATAATGAAAGAAAGAAAGAAACCAGATCATAAAAGAGAATCAATTTGTAAGATTTCTAGTTATATGTAAAAAAACCTGCAAACAATATCTAAATGTGATTCTTAACACATTTCTCCACACAGCAATGTTGTAAACTGGTATTCAGATAGAAACAAAACACTATAATATTTATCACTCCATATTAACATTTCAATAAATTATAAAATATGGTTTAAGAGTACTCTGTCGCTATTAAGCTGAATGTTCAGGCTCAGATTCCATTCAGTTTAACCTAAGCATATAAACCGGGTTGCTTATTTATTTAGCTCATGCCGTAGATCACACTTTTTAATTATAAGAAAGTAGATGTCAAAACACACTTCTTTCCCATCACTCAACTACCTGCTATCTCCTTTGAAAATTACCCACTCAACTTCTATCTTAACCCTGATGCTGCTGGCAACTTGACCATACTTCTGTCACCTCTAATCTTGACTAATGTCCTCCTTGCTGGTCATTCATCATCCAATTCTCATGAAACAATTTACCCAAACTCAGTCTCCTTTCTCTTTTCTACATTAAAACCCATTGGCCCTTTATCCTAACCGATATATACTGTCTGCCTATTGTTTAATGCATTAAAAATTGCATTCTCAATACTGCTACAGTGCAGATCCTCCCTATTTCTATAACCTCTGACATTATATCCCCTTCTACAGTCTTTGGCATTCTAACCGTAGGCTTTTGTCCATCTACTCTTTTCTTCTTTTTAGTAGCATAGTCTTCAACTGCCTTAGTAATCTTCTTAAAATTCCAAATCTAAGACCCCCAGCTGGAAAAATGTTTTCAAAGCTATCCTTTGATTTAGCTTTAGTCTGAGGTCTACCTTCTTCAGATGGAATCTGTTCTTTTCTATGTTTTTTTTTTCTTTTCCGTGGCAAAAAATATTCCAGTGAAAGGTTGTGCTACATTTGTTGAATGCAGTTTGCCAAGATCATGTGTGATTAGTTATTGCAAAAGTAATGACTTATTATTAAACTAATATTCATTTATTATCCAGAATGTCACTTTGCAGGTAATTCTGAGATCATCAAGACAAGAAAAAAATGAAAGTGGAAATTTTTATCCTACTGATAAGTGGTGAATTAATGATCACTGCGATGGCACAGCAGCACCAATGTAGCAAGCTACAGCAGCCCCGGAATTTTAGTTCAGATTCAGAACATGACGTTGAAGTCATACTTTTACCAGAAGCACCAGAATCAGTCCCTGATATGCAAACAATCTATACCTTGGCGGAAAAGAACAGGGAATTTGGTTTTAACCTCTACAGGAAAATAGCAAACCTACATGAAGTCAATGTGTTCTTTTCACCTATGACCGTCTCCACAATCTTTGCCATGATATCCCTTGGTGCTAAACATGTTACATATGATGACATACTCCGAGGCCTAAACGTAAAAGATTTGATCAAAACTGACAACCCATACCTATTGCACACATTGTATCAGTGGCTTCACTGCAATTTTAGCAGCAACAAAGATCTTCATATCTCAGGGGGAATTTCTTTGTTTGTACAAGATGACATTCACTTGAAACCAACATTCATCAATGATGCTTCTTATTTTTATAATGCTGATATAACTCCCGTAGATTTTCAAGATACAGCCAACACCACAGACATCATTAATCAATATATTGACAATAGAACAAATGGAAAAATCAACAGGTTGCTTGTTTCTGTGGATAGCAAAACCAAACTTATGTTTATTAATTACATCTTATTCAAAGGTAAGACTTCAAAGTTCATTCAAAATAGTAATAAAAAATGCCTTGTCTATTTTTTGTAAATATTGAAGCCTAGGTCAAGTTAAAAAGGGTCAAGTTGAAGGGAGCAGTGACTTGAAGATTAAGTTAGTTAAGTATAGCAGCTTGGTGGCACATGGTGTGAAGGTTGTAGGCAGAAAGTAAGACTGAACGAATTCAGCGGATTTACAATTTCTGTTCCAAAAACCATGGATTAGCTTCAGTCAACTAGTGGTACTTCTTTATTCAAATTGGAGCTAAAGAATAAACAGAACATATTGAGTCTTATTGGTATGATAGTAGAATAAACGTGCGTGTCCCTGAATACAAGAGTTGGGCCAGTCAGCCTGTCAAGCCTATCGATAATAAGATCATAGCCAATCTGTATCTCAAGTCCTATGTCTGATTCTAATATCTTAAAACCATTAACCCAAAACAATGGTTAACCCCAGTCTTGGAAATTTTGGTTGACACAGCATCCATAGCCTTTCCACATAGCCTTTATCTTCCATGTAAAAAAAATGCTATCATTATGATGGTGCCGCTTTGCTCCGGATTCTCTCACCAGCGGAAATAGTATCGCTGTATATATTTTCATCATTATAAATGCTTCAATTCGATTATCCTTCAGTTCTGGAAACTCAAAGGAATAGAATGCTTTTTGTTTTGCAACTTGTGTCCATAATTTAACCATAAAAGCCTCCAACTCATTTTGAGAAATCTGCAGTGTTCGTCCTTAAAACTATTATATACTAGTGTGTCCAAAACTGAAAACAATGTTCCAGGTGTGAAGTTCAGGACAACTGAAGCATGGCCACTTCTCTTTGTCTGCCAATCTCTTTGAAAGTAAAGCCAACATTCCATTAGTATTTTTTATTTATTTTTCTACCTGTGTGTGCACTGGCTTTTAGTGATTTGTGTACCTGGCCCAAAAGCTTTGTTCCTTCAGTTTCTATTCATTAAATAAATCTGTCATACCTTAGAAACAATTATAGTATAAACTGAACTTGTTTTCAATAGACTTATACTTCTTATCATACTTCTATTCTGAGCTTATTTTCATAGTTCTGTTCCTACCCCCTTTCTGCACCTCTAGGTTTCAACTTTTTCTTGCATATTATTTTCTTCAGCTTAGTATTGTCTTTTAGATCGTGAGATTTATGAGGGGTTGGAGAGAGTGAGCGGGGAGAAAAAATTAATTCTTATGAAATGGAAACCAAGAAAACGGTGACTCTCACCCTTCTGCCTTCATGATACTCTGATTAATGATAGTCACAATACGAAAGATTGTTTATAATGTTAAAAAAGTAAGAATGAGTAATTGTAGATTAGCAACAATTGCCTACTTTTGTCCAGGGAAGTGGATGGCTCCTTTTGATCCAAATGCCACCATGGATGGGACATTCTATATAAATGCATATACCAGAATCAAAGTTCCAATGATGTTCAAAGAGGACACATTTTTCTTAACACATGATGAAAGAAATTCTTGTATAATCCTGAAGATTCCATACCAAGGAAGTGCAAATATGTTGGTGGTGATACCAAAGAATGGAGAATACCTACATGTGGAAGATGAGCTAACAACAGAATTAATTGCCGAGTGGATCAAAGCACTGAAACCTAAGTATAACTTTCAATTTTACAATCAAACAGTAATGGGCATGTCAAAATGCTGTATAGTCAGTTCTGCTATAATGCATGCTTCTTCAATGTGAATTGGCTTTAACGCGATTGAAGAATTTAGACCACTATTTGTAAAATGCAAAGATTCCTTACTTGTATCGGCTATAATGCGACTCCGGCCCCATTAGTTTAAATGGCGCGGCTATTGCGCAACTTTCTTAATAATGCGAGATCACACAAGAACGGAACCATCGTGTTATATCAGAAATTCCTTGTAGTTTAGAATCGAGAAAAAGCAGCTAGAGTGAGACAAAAGTTCACACACGTTTTTCAACAAACTGTCCTTATAGCCCATACTTCATTATTGAACTTAAGATTTATTTTATGTTTCTTTGATATATGTGGAGCCAAATGAAAGTCTGAGACAGTCTTATTGACCGAAAAGAAACCTTAGGTATTGTTGTTATCACCTGTAACTTATTTTTAGCATTTACATTTCATTTAATATTAATTAAAATATGTACTTGTTTCAGTAAGATATCAAAATATTTAAGATGAAACTGTGATGAATAGCTCTGAGGTGGGTTCTGAGGAAGGCTTAACGTGCCCGAAATGTTAACTCGGATTTCTCTTCACAGACGCTGCCAGACCTGCTGAGTTTTCCAGCAACTTCTGTTGTTAGTTCTGATTTACAGCATCCGCAGTTCTTTCAGTTTTCAATGATGAATAGTTAATAGCTTAATTGCCTGTTTCTGTATGGGAAATTATGCACTAAGTTAACTCCACAGGAAAATGTCTGGGTAAATATCCACTAGTTGATTGGGCATTTTTACTGGATGTACTGGAGTTGTGGCAATGCTTGCAGAATCACTTTAATTGTCTGCTCTTATCTGCTCTTCCTAGGGTAGGGGAGTCCAAAACTAGAGGGCATTGGTTTAAGCTGAGAAGGGAAAGATTTTATCAGGACCCAGAGGGTAACTTTTTCATGCAGATGGTAGTATATGTACCGAACGAACTGCCAGAGGAAGTGGAAGAGGCGGGTACAATTACATTTAAAAGGCATTTGACGGGGTATGTGAATAGGAAGGGTTTAGAGTGATATGGGCCAAATGCTGGCAAATGGAACTAGGTCAGATTGGGATATCCGGTCAGCACGGACCAAGTTTGTCTGTTTCCATGCTGTATGATTCTATGACTCTGCTGTAAAATCAACCACTGTTACCACTGAGTTCTGAGGAAGGGTCACCGGACCTGAAACGTTAACTCTGTTTTTTCCTTCACAGATGCTGTCAGACCTGCTGAGCTTTTCCAGCAACTTTGTTTTTATTCCTGATTTACAGCATCTGCAGTTCTTTCAGTTTCTTTAAAAAAATCTGTTTATTATGACAATTTAAAATATAAATACATTCAGGTTCAGATCAATGCAATTTAAGATATGAATGGAACCGCGTAACATTTAAAACTAAATTAAAGCTATGAGGTGGAGGTGCCGGTATTGAATTGGGGTAGGCAAGGCCAGAAGTCACACAACACCAGGTTATAGTCCAACAGGTTTATTTGAAAACACAAGCTTTCTGAGTCCCACTCCTTCTTCATACGTTAATGAGAATGGTGGTATCAGACACCGAATCTATAAGTAAAAGCATTTATAAGTAAATGTAAGCATTCAATTGTAAATCTAAAATTCAGCCAGGAAAATCTTCCTTTGTTGTCAATGAATTACCACATCGTGGTATTAATGGCTTATTCCTTTTTAGTGCAATTCATGAAATTTTGAATAACTGCATGTCAAACTCCATACCCTGGATGAGGAGTAAAAAGACAATATGTTTACATATCTTTGTCAATGCCAGCTTGTGATCAATTGCTGGAAGTGATCCAAATTATTTCAATTAATTTTTTCCCTTTGCTATGTAAAAAAGTATCAGTTCCACCTGGCACTTGCCCTCAATAACTTGACTGTGATCTGAAACTTGACAGAGGCTGACTCAGACATCAATCTTCATCCTGCCGCTCAAGAGCACAGCAATAATGGTTAATTGATATGCTGCTTCGCTAATCTTTAAACCTAGCTTAATTTTAAAGTTTATTTTGAGAGCGCAATTAAGGTCTTTCATTGAATCTACACGCATAATGGCAATGAAATACCTTCAATATACTAACATAGCACATCAGTGAGGTCGAAGTTTATGCAGGGTTCTCCTTACATTTTGCAAATAGTCTAGCCAAATCCCAGTTCTGATATTTGTCTCAGTGGAGTGATGGATAGAGTCCTTGCTGTATACAGGCAGTATGATTTACTTGGCATAGCTGGCAGCAGAACATTTAGCATTCTGATTCCATTGCCAGAATGTATTCAACTATATATATATATATATATACATACATACATACATATATACACACACACACCCACACATATATATAAAGGGAAAGGCATTTCTTGAAAAGTACACAAGCTTGATTGCTGAGTTTGCAGTTTCTGAACAGATTGTAGTCAGACCGCAGTTTTTTGTGAATATATGGCATAGTCACACCTTTATGTTCAGCATTGCATTTCTCACAGTAGCTGTGCAAAAAGCAACATACCAATTGGAACTAAAGTGGGTAATAGAACTGATATATGGACTGGCCATGATTTAATTGAATACCAAACCAGGCTTTTGGGGTTGATGGGCTTCCCCTTGTTACTTTGTAAAGCCAATTGGAAGAGAAAACCATTTGGTTCATTGAACATTTTCTACAATAAATACATTTTTAAAAATGCAGAACATGCTATTAAGCACTCCATAAGGTAATTGTCACAAACTTACAAGGATTTTTTGCTTTACTAGATTAGGCTGGATATAAGTGAGACTCCAAAAGCAAAGGCTTTGCTCTAGGTCTCAATCATCTATTCTTCCCTCATGATTCTAATATAAAATACTAATGTGTGCTCTATTTCATGTCAAGAGATTTAAACACAATAAAACTAAATGTTTTTTTCTTAGTTTTCCATTTTTTGTAAATCAAGCTTTATTTTATTGTCCTAGGAAAATAGAATTATATTTTCCAAAATTTAAATTGGACAAGTCGTATAACATGGAAAGGAAGCTGAGACAACTGGGAATTATAAAACCCTTCACAAACACTGCCAATTTTTCTGAAATCTCTTCATCTCACCATCTGAAGATTTCCAAGGTACACTTGGTCCAAGAGTAATCACTGACCCATATTAGTTTTTCACCTGATTGCTATGCTTATCTGAATATGGCAGGAGAAGGAGGAAGTAGCAACTGATTAGTTGCATTTTTGTTCATTTTTCCAGGTTATTCACAAAGCAGTGATTGACGTGGATGAGAGAGGAACAGAAGCGGCAGCAGTCACCAGTGTTGCAGCAGTGCCTTATTCACTTCCAACTATGATAAAAGTGGACCACCCTTTTGTTTTCATGATATATGAAGAAATAACAAACATGCTACTGTTTATAGGAAGGGTGAAAGATCCCACCAAGAGTTAATGTTCTGGTGAAATTATTGTTTTTGAATTGATTTTTGGTTTGTAAATTAGGCATTACAATAATGATGTTGAAAGGATTAGCAATATTGTGTGTCGTCTATAACAATATAGAAAATAGAATAATCAAGTTGATTCAATTTTTCACATTTGGAAACATTTGATAACTATGTTTAATATTTAAAAGCATTGAAATAAAGGAGTCCTTTTCTCAAAAATCGCTTTCACTTTGTGCATGATGTTATTTTGTTTTCAATCACAAGTCACTTTGCACTTTTGACTAATGGGTATAAACGTGTTTTCAGTTTCTCAAAGGTTCTTCATTGTCCTGAAAATTCCAAACTTAAAACATCCTCCTGGAGGTCACAACAAAATTCAGTTGACGATATGGAACTACTGGTTTTCAAGTAACTCTATGGTGCTCGTAAGCTTACACTTGTCAGGTTATACACTATAGGCAGTAATTGCAGTTGCTGTTAGCTGGAACACTTACTATTGAAGGGCTATGAAAAGACCATAAGACCATAAGACATAGGAGCAGAAATTAGGCCATTCGGCCCATCCAGTCTGCTCCACCACTCAATCATGGCTGATAAGTTCTTCAACACCATTCTCCCATTTTCTCCGCTTAACCCTTGATCCCCTTGGTAAGCAAGAACATATCTAAAGGCAATTCTGGTGCAGTGTAATCAATCAACTTTGGGGTGGGGGGACAAAGGATATGGACTATTTAGTGGAAGTGATTTCTAGATGCTGAATATGAATCAATAGCATGCATTAAGGCAACATCAGAAATATTGAAAAATAAAGGAAAAGCACTGCTGTCAAAACTAAATTGATATTTAATTCTAAGTCTTAAATGCAGGACATAAGACCACAAAAACAACTAATGAGACAATGCCTGTAGTGAGGTTAAAGAATTCTCTTAGGCTGATTGCACTGTTTACATTTAAAATGGCTTTATTCCTCCCAAATTGGAAACTATTATTTTAACAGCATGATCACTTTCATTCTTACTGACTCTAAAAACAACAAACATTTCTGTACAATACAAAACTAAGGTTGAGAATAAAAGGTATAATGGAGTAACCAATATGATGGATGATCTTTTAGCTAAATTTAAAATGACAATGGGAGATTGGGGAAATACTTCTGTAAAATTGACCTCTGATATGTGCGGTCTCTGCAGCACACCTTTCCTTTTCATCCTAGGGTGTTGGGCAAGAGCGTGTGCAACATTTAATCTTTTAATAAACCTGCAACCATTATTTGTACATTATTTAGACACAAGACAGTAACCCTTTTGTGATTAATTTTGATTGCCAAAAATAGATGGATTGAGGTCAGTGAGAACTTAGAACTTTAAAAATCTTAAACCAATCCATCTCCAACTTACCTACATCCAAGTTTAACAGAAGTGGGACAAGGGCCAGGTGGAAGAGGGTTGACTATTTATATATTAAAATAAGGCTGGCAGCTGGAACAATTAACTGCCTAGCAGGTTTAACCACTGCTGGACAAAGCTATCCTTGGGAAACATAGACAATTTCAGATCATAGTTATCACAGATCCTTAAAAGGTTTTCTGAATAAGGGGGCTGTGTCTTGCAAATTTCTAATCCGCTATCACCTTGCTGAAGTCTAGGGAAGACTGGAAGATTATCACCAAGCATCCCTGCAATTTCCATTTTCATTTTCTTGAATATCTTTGGATGTCTCTCAAACAGTCCTGGTGGCTTGCCAACTTTAATTATCAACAATTTATCTCAAAGCTTTTCATCGGTTTTAAACTCATCTGCTGACAGTTTCCTCCTGGGTGGCATCTGGCTTCTTGGTAAAGACAACTGCAAAATATTCTTTTAAAACCGCAGTCATAACCCCTGTCTCCTTGGATAAATATCGTTGTTGGCCCCTATTAGACCCTACTCTTCCTTTTGACACCCTTTTCCATTTACGTGCCTGCAGAAGACTTTGAGATTCCCGTTTTATGCTAGTTACTAGATTGTTTTCATAGTCCCTCTTTGTTTCTCCTGTATACTTTTTTTCAAACCTCTCTTCTAAATGTTTTGTATTCAGCTTTGTTCTCAATTGTATTTTCTACCAAACAGTTGTCATGCCTACTTTTTTCTTCCTTGTCTTAATTTTTACATCCTTTTTTCATCCAGGAATCCTTGGATTTGTCTGGCCTATCTATGCCTTTTGAAGCAATATACCTTGACTGTACCTGAACCATTTCTTTTTGGAAGGTAGCCCATTGTTCAGCTACAGTTTCCACAAAACATTGGTTTCCAGTCCATCTGGCCCAGTCCCATTTTTCCCTCATTTGTATTGGCTCTACCCCAAGTAAATTATTCTTTTTCTGGATTTCCCACTGTCCTTTTTTGCCACTTTCCTAAACCTTATGATACAATGATCACAGTTCTTGCCAGTTGGTCTACTTGGCCCACATCATTTCCAAGAACCTGGTCTAGGTGCTAGCTCCTTTCTTATCTGACTGGACATGTACTGCCATAGAAAATTCCGCTGAATATAATCTAGGAGCGCTTATCTCATATTGCTTTTTACACTATCACTATCAGAATTTAAATCTGAGTAATTAATGACTGCATTATAACTGTCGTAAAACATTCACACCTCTCTGTAATTTCCCTACAGATTTGCTCCTCTACGTCTTTCCCACTAGTTGGTCTATAGACTATGCCAAGCAATCTACATTCTATGTTCAATCTAATTATATGCTTTTCTCCTCAGCTCTAGCTAAACTTACGCTGTCCTTGAACACTCTGGCACTTCTTTCTCCAGCATTACAATGCTTTTAATCAACATGATCGCCCATCTCTTCTTCTTCCTTTCCTATCTTTCTGAAAACCTTGTACTCAGGAATATATAACATTCAGTCCTACCCATCAGAAACATTTCCATCTACTCCAAAAATCTGCTACACATACACCTAAGCTTTAAACCCTTGCTTCAGCAAAAATGGGGCCTGTTTGAAATCTGTAGAAACTGCAATTACCTGCTGAAATTTAGGGTTTCTCTCTTCAGCGACTTATGTCTTCCTTCCTTGCACTACTCATGAAAATAGGACTGTCAGAAATAGGAGCAGCCTGGCTACTGCCAGCATCTTTAAAGGTCTGTGAAGGCTCTTAGCTCCTGGTAAATTAGGCATGCAAGCAGATTTTAAAAAAACTATCAGTGATGTACCTGGTTCTCATAGCAGCCACAGCAATATTTAGAAAGAATATTAGATCATGAAATAATAGAAATATGGAATGTCTGGACCAATTTTTAACTGTAACTGGCCAGAAGTATTACCTGTCCAAATGCTCTGGAATTCTCTTCCTTCACTAGCTCCATTTGCTTTTAAACCTTCCTCTCCTCCTTTAATAAAAAACGAAAGAACTGCGGATGTTGTAAATCAGGAACAAAAACAAAGTTGCTGGAAAAGCTCAGCAGGTCTGGTAGCATCTGTGAAGGAAAAATCTGTTCTGACGAAGGGTCACCGGACCTGAAATGTTAACTCTCCTCCTTTAATACCCTGCTCAAAGTTTGCCTCTTAGTTTTATATGAAAATGGTGCAGTTTCAGATTAGAAGTGGAGTTTTAACTATTTAACTTTTTTGTCCTGAAATTATTGATTGCCAGGCTTAGTTACAGTCAGACAGAGAATACTCATGAGTGAGCCTACAGCTGCTACTTGGGGAATTAGCTGGTGGGACTGGACTGATCCTCAACTCCTGGATCTTTGAATGAGGCTAATAGGGCTGATCCAAACCAGGATTTGAGACTGCATTGCTCAATCTGATTAAGGCTATATTTAAACTAGTATGCACATCCATTGCATTACACTGACAAACATAGAAATTGGTAGAAAAGCTCAGCAGGTCTGGCAGCATATGTGACGAGAAATCAGAGTTAACCTTCCTCAGAACGGGTCACTTGACCTAACGAGGTGTAGAGCTGGATGAACACAGCAGGCCAAGCAGCATCATAGGAG